TTAAAATTTTATTGCCCTCTCACCCTAAACCTTCATAATAAAATTTGTTTGAAGATCAATTTTTTTTCTTCTTCATGAAATAATAGTTTTTGTGTACCACAAGTTCAAAAAATATATTATAGGAATTAAAATAATCAATAAACTTGAATGTTTCAAGGCGTCGAGATTTCTTGAAGTAATTGTTAATATTTATGTGAGAACTATAAATAGGGTGAGAGTAAAATCTAAATTAAATTTGATCCCTAAAATTTTTTTCTAACGTTTAAATAAGTAGATATAATATATATATATATATATAGATATATATATANGAAGCCCAAAAAGCATTTTTTTTTTACATTGCTGGACATAATAAATATAAATAAATAACTGAATAAAACAAAAAACTTCGCTGTCAATAGTTGGAAACATATCAAGCAATTTGAGTATTAATAAATTATTTATACTTAAACAATTTTTTAATTTAAAAGGTAAAAAAGTTTTTTTTTGCCCCATCTATTTAATATCTGTTTCTAAAGATCAGAATTCCCTTTTATTTTACTTTAAAATTGTACAAATGATGTATTTAATGCTTTCATGTGATATGCAGCAGTTTTAAGTAGCACTTTAAAATATCTAAAAAAGGACAGAAATTGTGAGTTCAAAAAAAAAATTAACTAATACTTTTGAATAAGAATTTAAATAACTACACACGTTTAATTTACTATCACATTCTATATAGCATTATTTAGAGTAGACAATTGCGTGTGGGTGTGATGATGGCGTAATAAAAGAGGCACACAAAAAAGTTAAAATCCTCAATATTATATTTTTAAACTCCTCGAAAGTGTAGTAAAAGAGGTATACAAATTAACTGTCGCAAACAAATTAATATTAAGTAAGAACGAAACAAAAATGATATCGAAATATGCTGAATCACTAATGAGATCGTGATGAAAGACATCGAAACCTATTTGATTGTAATGGTATAACTAGAAGGTGTTTCTAATATTCTGAAATCTATTATACTTTAATTTTTTTTTTCTGTCACAAACTTTATCAGTAATTAAAAATAATAAATTCGTTAGATTTCAATATAGGTTGTTTTTTCGTTGATTAAATGTTAAACATTAACAGATATTTGTCTTTTAAAACATTTAATTCTATAATAAGCTAATTATTCTACAATTGTAATTATCTAAAACTAATTGCTAATTGATATAAGGCTTTAGTGTGTTCCATTGATATGTCGAATGCTCGTTTTGGCTGGATACCCGGGACTGTTGCTCTTTCACATCCTAGCCACTATACACCATCAAGAGCAGAGCTGATACTTTAAACTCGTATGACATTTATTCTCTCTGATATTTAATAGACCCTTTAATATATCCTTAAAAATGTAAGCCAAAAATTTACATAAATAATGACAATTGTTTTCTTGCACAAAAATTTAACAAATGTACTTAAAATAATTAAAAAGAATTGAATAAATAATGAAGAAATATTTTCAATATAAACATCAATTAAATAATATCAAATTACAAAATGGTCTTTTTATTTTTACAAACAGTATTAATGTAACGGCCCTCACCTGCTCCAGGGGCTGCTGAATTGGGTTCAAAATGACAAGGCTACGGAGTAGAATATTAGTAGTGGTAAACTCGAAATTGGGTCGACTGTTCAACGACTGTTATAAAATAAGCTAATAAATGTGGCCGGGATAGCCTGGTTGATAGGGCGTTGGACTCGTGCTCGTGAGAATGGGAGTTTGAATTCAGCCGGCAGAAGAATACCCATGTATAAAATCGTGACTGGTGCATGTTTAATTTGTCGGGGTCACAAAGTCATCCAAGTTCTCTTAACAAAGAAATACCTCTGGGTACTAATCTAGCAGTTCTCTCATCTTCTGGATTGTTTTCAAAATTACAAGACCACGGAGTTGAATCTTAGTAGTGGTAACTCGAAATTGGGTCGGTTGTTTATAAAAAAAAATAAAACTAATATTCAAATTGTATTTTCTTGTTTTCTTTCTAACTCTTTGCATATTTTCTACGCACTTTCAAAATTTCATGTTTCTAAGTCTTATAGATTTTGTAACGTAAAAAAAAAAAAAAACAATTGAGAAAAAAATTCGCGAAAAAATCATTAAAAATTGCAAATAAAATATATTCAAAATGAATCTAAAAAAAAACTCTGTTAAATATATAGTGGCCCAGCACGCCAAATTTTCACTCTGTGCTTAAAATGTGTTTCTTTTGTAACTTTTTTCCCTCGTTCAAAAAATATGTGTAATAAAAGAAAGGTTCTACATAATAGTCTCATCTCAATTAATATATTTAACAATAAACTAATATTAGCAAATTTTTTAATAATATAATGTTAATACTCAATAATAAAAAATAATGATAGTTTACTTTAGGTGTATAGAAATGGAATTGAACTTATAAGGGCCCATCATTTTCAGTAGCTTAGGGCCTCACCAAGCTTAAATCCGGCCCTGCACAGATCATTTATAATTGTTTATTGATCATAAAACTTAGTTTATTTAATCAAAATGCTATACTATGCATTAAATACTATTAAAAAGTAAAGTTTCGCGAAAATTGAGAATTTAAGATTGAATATTGCACTCCCCTTTTAATCGAATAACCCGCTTGATTGTATAGTTTTGGCTGGAATTCATACTCATATTCCATTTAAAAAATATAAATAACTGACTGTTTAAATAATAATAACACACTGATTAAATTATCTGTGTTTATAGGTTTAATTGTGCTTTCCATTACAATTATTTACTTTGTTAGAATTATTCCCAACTGTATTTATACTACTGACTTATAAATAAGTTTTCATTTTTTAAGAAGGTATATTATTAAATTTTTTAATTTATTTTAAATTCTAAAATCATTTTTTAAATAAAGTTTCTTTTTTTAAAAAATGTATCTTTAAATACTCTTGTTCTAATAATTTTCAGTTTAAATTATGGAAAAAAAGCTGCCAAATGATTAGGTTTGAAAAAAAAAATTCGTGTAAATTTAAAAAAATTTTGTTTACTTTTTTTTTTTAAATAGTTTATGCTCAGAAATTGTCTTGTTGCATGACTTTAATTATTTTTTTATCAACTATGAATTACTGACTTGTTTTAATAATGTGTTATAACTGCTTTTTGATAACCCATCGACTGATTCAAGAAAGGAATGCTTAATTTTACTCGCTTGCTAAGCAACCAATTTTAGACTATTAAAACAATTGAAGTAATGTTCTGTGATTTCTCGGAGAGTTTTAATTAATCACAGTTAATAGAAAATACCTCGAAGTTCTTAGGCAATAGACAATTTTTAAGCTGACTTTTTTATCTGGCATTATTTGGAATTTTTATGTTGTTTTTGCTTTATAATATACCAGTATTTCACACTAAAATTAAATTTACATAACTTATTATAACTATATACAAAATTTTAGGAATAATCATTTTCAGCAGTTTTAATCCAGTCTTCTGAGCAAGAAAGTTTGAAGAAACAGAAAAAAAAGGTAAAAAAAAAGGAAAGAAAAAAAATCCTTAATGTAAATTGTATAGTAATTCTAATGCACATTATTATCGCAAAAACATTAAATATTATCTAATCATCGCATTGTATCGGGGAATATAATTTATTTATGATTTCATTAATGAGACGATGTGACAGTGCGTCGGGGGAATTTTTCTTTAAAATTTTCTTAAGAATGTGGTGACAACGCGAAATAATAGAATGCTTCGTAAGCCTCTCATCCTCATCACGAAATGCAGTCATGACGCTACACATGGTAGGTTTGTTTCATCATCCATTTACATCTCTAAGAAATGGTAATAGAATTTTTTATTGATTTCGTCTTCAGATATAGAAGATGAACAGTTATATTTTTTCGTAAAATTTAGTTTCAATGCATATAATTTTTATTCCCATTTTAAACTGAAGTCTAAAAACTTATGGATTGAAAATTCTAAAATTGTCGTCTGCTATTAGAATTGGAAAGTAGAATAAAACAGTCACGGTCATTGTTATGGCTGAAACTTTAAAATATGAATATCATTGCGTATAAGAAAGTGTTTTTACTTAACCTGGTTTGAAACCACTGAAATATAGTCTGATAGGTAATAAATTTTCAAAATATTTTTAAGAATATGGCGAAATAATAGAGTGATTGTCAAACCTCTATTTGCTTTTATTTTTCTTAACAAGATTTTTTTCTTAGCTAGCAGGTAAGTTTTCCTCTAATCAAAACTTGCCAATAATTTAAAAAGAAACTTTAATTTAAACGAAAAAACTTTAATTAAATTGAAGCACTTTTCTATTTCTTATTGGAATGCTTTAAAATAGGAATGTCTTTCATATATAAATTTCCTAATGTATGTTCATTTTTGTTTAGATTAAGGGATTATCTGATTTCTCCCTCGCATCATAGAATTTTATTTTCATTATTATTTATTTATTATTAGTTTGAAGGAAAATTACATTTCAGTAAATTTCCTAATTTTGTTCGAAATGTTATGAATTCTAAAAAACATATTGTCAAAGATGTAACATTATCGTGAATAAATTTTGCAATCTAAGATTGAAATTTATTTTTATCACCTTTATTTCTCTGATTTTTTACTCTAATTTAACTAACGTCTTAAAATTTCCAATTTTTTCCCAAAAAGATTGTTTCATTTGAAATATTAAGAATTTTAATATCTGATATGGTTGAACATTTTAAAATACCAATAAAAGAGGCTTGTGTAAAAAGAATTCTAAATTTTTACATTTTGGTGAGGCGTCAGTAACATGTTACAGTCAGAAAGGTTTAGATAAATTAAAATTTTGTGTTCAAAAGCTATATAAATCAAACAGATAAGCAAATTTGTATTTGACTGTAACATGCTTCCAGCGCAAGGGACGAGGACCCCCCTCACCTGTTGCGCCAAAAAAGTTTTTTTTTTTGTGTGAAGTGGCGTCTGCCCCACCACTAACACACTTTTTTTTCTTTTTTTTTTCTTTTTCTTTACTTACCTCCTTTCTGATTGCCTCTTCTGCTAATTCCCTGTAAATAAGCTGAAAGTAATAATTTAAACCATGTTAAATTTACATGAAATCTAGAGCAAAAAAACATGGTAAGGTTAATCCTAATAATTACATCAAATATCACCAATCAGCTTCTGTCCACGTTGCATCTTCAGGGTCATCTACAAATGGAACATCGTCGTCATCACTGAGTTCGATGACTTTAGGCTTTTTGGGTTTAGGCATAAGTGCTTCAATCCCTTCGGATTCAGGTGTGGGAACTTCCATCTCCAGGAGTTTCAATCCATCGACGCGGTGTCCGTCCTTATACCCCGGGTAGACAAGGGCGATGTCTCGCAGGAATCTGTCTATTTTTTCGCCTAAAGTTTCGACCTCGTCGAGCCTTATCCTTCGGTAAAAATGTAGGGCCATGTATTGTCGCAGTAATTTGTCTGTAAAATTAAAAAAAAAAAAAAAAAAAAAAAAAAAAAAAAAAAAAAAAAAACAAGAACTTTGAGTTGTAAATAATATAATTACCTGCTGCAATCTTAATGAATCTTACCCTGAATGAATGAAATCTTACCCTCTCCACCTAATTGATGGTAATTGTGGGAGGCTATCACTTCAGCTACTTCTCTTAAATAACTAAAATAATCGACTACAGTTGTGGTCGACACGGTCGTAGTTGGTTTTCTAGTTGGACCTCCTAACCTTTGCCCTTGCGTCGATCGTCTAAATAAAGTTAGATGCTCTAAAACTGAAGTTATTCGTTCTTTACAAACGAATTCGATAATTATAATGAAAACGTCTTCGATTGGTATCCGACATCCTTCGAAGAAAGTGTTATCCGTTGGGCTGACTTTGCCATTACATGGATCCACTTTTCTTCCGCGTTTAGTACATTGGAAACAATATCCAATTTTGCTTCTCGAGTCTTTAACAACTCGAGTTGAACAGCCGCATTTGGGACAAAGAGGTTTATCCTCAGGTTTTATAATTAGGCAGTAAAACTGCAAAATCTCTATTAATAAAGCGAAATCGCTTAAAATCGAGCCAAAACCGCTGTAGCGGTTGAAATTAACAAGTGCTGGATGCATGACGATTTAGCTATAAAACTAAACTAATGTAACCGAAATCTCAGGGCAGAATGTGAAAAATCTCAGGGCAGAGCTCAAGAGTTATTTGGTGATAAATTACGTGATGTCCAATTGAAAACGCTCCTTTACTTTTTACCCAATGAAATTCGAGTTCTAGAAAGGGACGAAGAAGGGGGAGTGTTAAAGGGTCCTATGATTGCACAGAATTTCCGCATTGGTTTGTATTATTACCCATTTTATTAAAATAAAAAGTTAAAATTTTAATATGAGATCTAAAAATAATTCTAAAAAATTTTGCAGATCTAATGCATCACCACATACTTTGACAAAGATTCTAGCACGGAATCAGGCTTTTTTAATATTTCATAATCATTCACATTTAACACTTTCAATTTTAATACATTTATCTTGAAAAATAATTTAAATGACTATACGGCAAAATTGTTTGGTATCAAAGCATGCAGTAATTTTCTTTTTGTAGTCTGAAATCGATATGTTCTACATCTTAAATATTTTAAGTTTAATAAATTCTCAACCTACTCAGTTTTTCAAAAATATTAAACTGATTCTCTTTAGGTATGTTAGCATAATGAAAATGGGCTATTTATTATTACTTTAAAAACTTTGTTTTCAATAACAAGGAAAATTTAAATAACAGTAACATTTCAGCAAATTTTTCTACTATTGATCGATTAATTAAGAAACTACAAAAATGTTTTTGTCATTACCCCATACACCGAGCTAACAAAAATTATGCGATCTTCTGTAAAAAATTCTTTGTTGAACTTTTGAGTAAGGAGTTAAAAAGTAGTAAAAATATGAAGCTTAGTAATATAAATGACAATATCATCATTAATTTCCTTTTTAGCTTCATGTAAGAAATTAAATATTATATTTTGAGATCTAATTTTTAATATTGCAATATATTTTATACTTAATTATTAGTCCTAAATTAGTATTAGATCCACATGTGAATGTGGGTCTAATACTTACCTAACCTAACCTTGCACTATTTTCTCTAACTACTTAAATTATTAACACTTCACTAATAATCAACCTATTTTAGAATTTATTTCACAAAATAAGATTAATTCTATTGCGCCTTTTGATTTCCAGAATCTTTCAAATAGGATTCCCCTTTCTAAACTAAAAGATGTTCTTTTGAGTTACTACTACAATTTTAAAAATAGCTCTAATTGCGATTTAGATTATTGGAAAATTTTAATTAGTTTTTGTCTTTTTTAATAATTATCTTCACAGTGGAAAAAATATTTTTGTTCAATTTAATGAAGTACTACAACTATCTAATTTTTCAACTCTCTTAGCTAACTTATTTTTACACTATTAAGAAAAAATTATACTCTTAATATTAAATTTGATTTTAGAATCATTGATGATTTAATTATCTTCAATTTTCAAGATTATACAATTATGTTAAATGATATTTTCCCCGAGGAAATAATCTTACTTCGTAATTATTATGATAACATTAATTTTAATTATTTTTATTTTGGTACTATAACTACTTTGTTGAACAGATTTTTATTTTAATATAAATAAACTAATTACTTTGAATTCTTATGTTTCTATAAACATCTATTTCAAAACCATTTTCAATCAAATGAATGAAATTAAGAGAAAATTTAGGAATGTATGTTCATTTATCCAAAAAACAAGTAGACAAACTTCTTCAAAATTTGATAAAAAAAAAAAAAAAAGCAATGGATACCCAACTGAAGTAATCAAATTCTATATAAAATCATTGAGTTACTTGAATGTTATTGTAAATAAATTTACTAAAAATGTTCTTTGTAAATTTATATAATTTTTACCATGTGCAAATCCGTTTCGGGCAAATCCGTGGCTAAAATTATGTGCAAAACAAGCAATTTATGTTTCTTTCTCTCTCTCTTTTCTATTTCATTTTATATTTTTTAATGTAATTTGTCTCAACCATGTAATTTCTCTCAACCTTATTAGTATAAAATTTAAGTTATCCAATATATTTTTACGTTGCGCACATCCAAATTCGGCGCACTCCTAGGTGACTAACAAATCAAATGAACTTCACATATCGCGATTCGTAATTACGCGTTTTAAAAATCATACGTTTTGATTCTTATCGCAATTTAAATGTCACATAGCGTAATTCGTATTTACGGGATCTTAAAATTGCAACATCGCATTAACATTAATGAGACTTAAAAATCATCCATCTCGATTCGTATTCACGAGATTTAAAATCACATCGCGATTCATATTCACGCGTTTTAAAAATCATACGTTGTGAGACTTCTCGCAATTTAAAAACCACACATCTCGGTTCGTATACACCACTCTATGGTATACACGCGATTCGAAAACCACGCATCGTGTTTTTTATTTACGAAATTTAAAAATCACATATAACAATTCATATTTTCAGCAATTTAAATATAACACATCGCTATTTCATAGCTGCCAAAATAGACAGGTAAAAAATCCAGTAGATTCAGCGAAAATAAATTTCATGATAATTGTTACCTAAGTTACTAAAAATTATACACATGGGAATATTAGAGATTTTTATACTTACCAGTCAGTCATGATTTTCATGTCAGTCATGATATTTTTAAGTCATGATTGGCATAAAATATGCTTGAAATGTTGTGCATTATGTTTACTCGTAATTTTGAATAGTGATAGGCATTTAATTCATAAAAAAAAGGAGAAAATAATTAAGATTTTTTAACTTATTTAAAAAGGGAATAAAAATAAACATTTTAGAACAAAAAGGAAAAACGTTTTAAAATGATTTCTGTAAAAGAGGCTCGCTATATTCAGAGTTTGAAAAAACCCGGGGATTTTTGAAAAAACCCAACCCTCCTGGGTTTTATTGAAAAAACCTGGGGAAAATTGGGTTTTATTTGAAAAAACACGGGGAAAATTGGGTTTTTTCATTTAGTGCTCATAAATTTTACTGTGAAAATATTTTTATTTATTAAATAGTGTTGTTATAAGTAAACACTAAAATTTCATCTGACTTTTACCTTTAATAAAATTAAACTGGAATAATATTTAATGGTCTTCCATGTTTTTATATTGCGATTAATAGAAAGTGAAATTAAAATTATGTATAATTATAAAGAGTATTAGTTGCTTGTCCCTTTTTCAAATATTTAGATAAATATATGCATTTTTTGATGCATTATAACATAGTTTCAAAAAACAAATTGATCTTAAAATTATAAAAAAGCATAGATAAAAAGTTATAGCTTATTTTTTTTACAATCAGAAAATAAAACTTTAAATTTGTTTCTTGTTGTTTAATGTATCACTTAATAAAAAAATTTTTTGTTTGCTTTCAATATTTTTAAACATGATTAAAAGAAACAAAATAAATTGTATTAAAATGAAATCTTGAAAATAATATTTAAACTTTCTCCAAATAGTTAAAAATTGTCAGCAGATGTTAAGAGTTAACTTAAAAAAAAGTTCAATTTTTTTCTTTATTATTATTATCATACAACACATTCAAAGTGTCTACATTTCTCTCTATACACTTTTACGAGTTTTGTAGCTTTATCTATTCCTAATCAATTTCGAAGTTTACTCTGCACCAAACCGAAAGTTGAAAAGTTTCTTTTGATAGAGACAGAGGATGCTGGTGCTGAGTGCAAAGAAAAAAGAATTGACAGAAATTTTGTGGAAGCTAGGAATTTTATTTATTTACTTATTTTTTTTTTCTTTTTTAATAATTTTCTAATTCTAATTTTATTAATTTTCCACTATTTTTTAATGAAAACTGTTGAATAATCATTGATTTTGGAACATATGGATATTACCTATTCAGGATCGGAAATTTTGAATGCCATAACACGTGGCAGAAATTCTGGATGATGCTTAGAAAGACAGTTTTCTGCTAATTGGTCTTGTTCATCATTTAAAAATTGTCCCCTTGTTTCGGGATCCAGGATGCATAAGCTAATAAATGATGTGGCTGAACTGCCTGATTGAATTTTTTTACAAAATGTTTATGGGGTTCTAATTCATTACACGATAGTAAGCTAATTCATATTTCAACAGCTTCTGAAATTGAAATGTTTTCTGATTGAAGCTTTTTTAAAGCTTCAAAAACAATTGATATCTTTTTTTTCCCAATTGATAGTTTATTGGTAAAGCGCAACATTATTTAATATTTTTGACATATTATTATTAGATTCATTTTGATGTTCAAGAACAATCTCTTCATATTTATGGTAATTATTATCATAAGTTTTTACCCGCTCACAATATGAATTTCACCTAGTATCGTTTAGTCATCAAGCAGTTTTTTTCATTTGCCCATCCATGTGCTTGATGCACATTTCTAATATATTTGTTAACTTAAACCATGTGTTCAATGATAGTATTAGGAGATGCTTCTTTTTGAACCAAATTAAAAAAAAAAAAAACCCCAAGTGGGTTTTTTCAAAGTGGGCCCACTTGGGGAACCCTGGTTATATGTATTTTATATTAAGTTTAAATAACGCATTATCACTACCTATTTGAATCTTCTTTATTGTTAAGTGCATTACATTTCATAATTTTTTAAAATAGGAATTATAAAATATAAATGCAGTAATATAAAAGGAACAAGTTTATTAATCTTTTTGTTTTCACACACATTTATTTACTATATTTATTAAACATATGGATATTACCTATTATAAAATTATAATCTGTAAATATTTATAATCAGTAAAAACTACAATTTCATCTGACTTAAGTTAAATAAAAAACTGAAATAAACATTTAATGGTCTTACATGTTTTTACAATAAGATTAATAGAAAGTGAAATTGAAACTACTTATAGTTATAAAGAGTATCAGTTACTTGTCCCATTTGTTTTCAAATTATTAACTCTAGGAAAATGATTTCATTTTTAGATAATTTTAAAAAGCTCTCTTATTAAAAGTTTAGCTTTTTTTTAAGAGCTTTTTTTTTATGAAATAATAATAATAACCTGTTTATTAATATATAAAGCATGCAACTATATTTGAAACATTGATCTTTTCAGACTATATTATTTAAATTTTTATTTGATTTAATATTATTAAAATATTACTTTTTGAAAAAACCCACTTGAAGTTTTCAATAGTACCTGCTATAAAATTATGTGAATATTCGAGTTTCTTTTATTTTACTAATACATTAAAAACTTAATCATATAAATCATGTAACTCTATTTGACAAATTTATGCTGTACAATAAATTCTATAAAAATAAATGCGAAACAATAAGTTTTAGTAAAAAAAAAATTTTTTTTTTTGTTGAAAAAACCCATTTATCATTCCAAGTGGGTTTTTTCAAGGTGGGCCCACTTGGCGAACCCTGGCTATATTAGACATTAGTAATACTTCTTTAAATTTTCAAGCCAGCAATAATCCGTGCATAATTAATAGCAATAACTTAGCTAGTTTTTTAAAAGGTTTAACATGACATATCTGAAAAAAATGGTGAATTATATAAGCCTACGAATTGCTTAGAAATCACAATGAATAAGATAAAAATCTACGAAATTGAGTTTATTAAACCAAGAATCACAATAAATAAACTTCCACTTGAAAATATTTATTCGCTGTCTGGAGCAAGTTGCCATTTTTGAGTATATAAATAAAACTATTTTTTTGTGTTCTATATTGCATTAATTTTTTCAAACCATTTTAGTTACGATAATAATATAAAAACAATAAAAAATTTACTTGAATTATGTGTTTA